TATGAAACAATTTCACAAGATTAAACAATTTCATGAAAAAATTTCATAAGATTAAACAATGAAATCGACAGATGAAGGTGGTTTGCACGGTTTACACAAATGAATGCGGTTTTCATATGATCACTTCTCTCTCTCTCTCTCTCTCTCTCTCTCTCTATATATATATATATATATATATATATGTTATAAAGATGGAACATTATATGGAGAAAACGTATCAATTATTCATACATACATTAAATGCACAATGAAGGAGATTTCGAAAACCTCAAACCTTTCGTATATAGCATTTATTGTATGGAAGAATATAAGAACAAAACATTCATTTACCCTTACTTTTTACCTTCATGGCATCATTGAACTATTTTTAGTACCATGACTACTGAAATTTTAATAAATCCATACATATAAAAGTTTGTGAAAGCAAGTGAAAGTGAAAATAAAAGTTGATGAATGTAGTTGAAAGTCCGTGTTTTAGAAAGCAGTCAATTAAAGAATAATTGAAGGTTGGTAATTTTTTTAATCGTTAGATAAAAAAACTAATTTATCAAACGATTTAGAAGTATTCCCACCGTTCTCACCATAATTTTTATTCTCGTTGAAACCCAACCTATAAATAGAATAGATTAAAAATCTATATGTTCAATTAATATCATATATATATATATATATATATAATCGGAAAATGGAATATATATATATATATATCTCTCTCTCTCTATATATATATATATGAAATGCAATTTGTGTTGCCAATAGATAGATAATTCAAGAGACAACCTTTGTAAGATTTGAAATCGGTATTTTATTATATATGTCAACTTGAAAATCGATTTAAGTATTTGAGTAGTGAGTGGATAGGCATAAGGGATCAAAGTGTGGGTAACAGCAAAAAGCACCACTAGCTTCAACCACCAACCACCATGTAGGGTCATAAGTGAAGGACCTTCTCTTTTTGCATGTGGTTACTGGTGAGGCCACTTGAAGTAGTCTTCTTAAAGCCCTAGCCAATGCCTATATATATGCAACCAATTTCATGCAAATCACCAACAACTCACAGTCTTCACTTTCTTTCCCCATGGCTGTTCACAAAGTTTCAAGTGTGGTGTTCTTGGTGTTATTAGGTTTGGGCATTAGTGTGGCGACTAGAGCTCTCTTCACTGTTGAAGAGTACTCTCATGGTGGTTTAGCAGGAGGTGGTGGTGGTGGAGGTGGTACCGGCGATGGAGGAGGTGGTGGTTATGGTGCAGGAGGGGATCATGGGGCTGGATACGGAGGTGGAACAGGGAAAGGTGGTGGTGCAGGGTATGGTGGTGGAGCAGCCGGAGGTGGAGGTGGAGGCGGTGGAACTGGAGGAGGTGGAGGAGGAGGAGGAGCAGAAGGTGGAGGTTATGGTGGAGGAGTAGGAGGGGGGAGCGGTGGTGGATATGGTGGTGTAGGGCATGGTGGTGGAGAAGCTGGAGGTGGAGGTGGTGGTGGTAGTGGTAGTGGCAGTGGAGGGGGTGGAGGTGGAGCGCATGGCGGTGGTTATGGTGCAGGTGCAGGAGAAGGAGCAGGGGGAGGAGGTGGAATCGGTGGTGGATATGATGGTGGTGTAGGTGCTGGTGGTGGAGGTGGACATGGTGGTGGTGGTGGTGGTGGCATTGGAGGAGGAGATGGAGCACATGGTGGTGGTTATGGTGCAGGAGAAGGAGCAGGAGGAGGAGGTGGTGGTGGATATGCTGGTGGTGCTGGGGCTGGTGGCGGGCATGGTGGTGGTGGCGGAAGAGGTGCTGGCATTGGAGGAGGAGATGGAGCACATGGTGGTGGTTATGGTGCAGGAGAAGGAGCAGGAGGAGGAGGTGGTGGTGGTATCGATGGTGGTGTTGGTGGTGGAGGTGGACATGGTGGTGGTGGCGGAGGAGGTGCTGGCATTGGAGGAGGAGATGGAGCACATGGTGGTGGTTATGGTGCAGGAGAAG